AGCTGAATCTTCAGGTAAGAATAATAAAAATTTCAAAAATTTGTAGTGCAATGAAAGAAGCTAGATATTTTAAAATTAGTTAAATAATAATCTGCTTTTGTATTTATATTTATTACCACTCATTTTTAAAATATTATCTTGCTTCTTTCATTTAATTAGGAAAATGTAAACTTTTTAATTGCATTATTATACAAAATTCTTTTATATTTATTTATGCCTTAACTTATTTTTATTAAATTTAATGAAATAATCAGCTAAAACTCTAAAGCAGTGTTTCCTAAACTTTGGGTGATGATCGCAAATGGGGTCATAAGGCGAAATGTTGGGGGTCTTAGAAATTTAATTCGGATACGTGAATTTAAAGAAGTATTAATCTTAACCCCTTCATTATCTTTAATTTATTGTACAACGTTTTCTGTACAGTGCATTACAAAATTGTATACTGACCAATATAAGCTATATATTATATTTACATATTTAAAAATACCACTAAGCACATCATAATAACAGTGTTCTTTTGCAATGCACGTAAATTATTTAGAATCAAAATATGGTGCAAATGCACATTAAGTAATATTCTGCACTGCACAGGCATGCTGAAAATGAAGTCAATGCTGCTGTGGCTAATATGGTGATAACATTTTCTACTATAGGCATTTGTTTCTATTTCATCACTATAAGTGTGTACATCACAAGAACAATACAATATTATATTTTATTGTATTTCTCAACTAAGGTTAATGTTTATTTAAATAATTATTATGAGATGTTATTTTATTCATATTTTAGGATAAAAATATTTTTTACCCATGGGTAAATGGTTGAACTTGAGTAACAAAGGTAATGATGCAGATGACAGTGCTACAATGTCTCTTCAAGAAAGATCTGGTAATCAGAATGAGCCATCAAAAATGCAAAAAAGGAAACATAATGAGTCATTTCTTCTATTTGGATTTACATTCAACAACCATGATGGTAATCAACAACCTCTCTGTTTAATTTAAATCTTCATAAAAAGGAAGACGACATTTTGAGAAATTTATTATTGTTAGCAAAAAAATATTTACTTGAGTCATATGAAGTTCCATATGTGATTGCTAAAAATAAAATGCCATGCACTATTGGAGAAGATCATGGATTACCTGCTGCTATTAAAATGGCAAAAGTACTTCAAAATAAATATGTTGAAAAGATTTGGTAAACTACTTTGTCAAATGACACTGTTGCCAGTAGAATTTCTGAAATTAGTAACAACAATTTGAACATCTTATTACTAGATGTAAGGAAAACCCACAGTGTATTAGTGTATTGGACAAAGCAACTGATATTTTAAAAATAGCTCAATCGTTAGTATATATCATGCATTAATCAAGAAAACTTTGATGAAAATTTATTATCTTGTTGTTCTCTGGAAGAATATAAAAGAGAGAAAGACTTACTTAGTAAGGTTGATAAAAAGACCAACATTGGCAGAATACAGCAGAGAATGATTCATTTGAAATGCTTTCAACTATCAATAGTTTTATAATTGAAAATAATAATTCCAAAAATTTAATTGAAAAACATTTTATAGAATACTTACAAACTCTTGAAACATAATTTTGCAAATACTGACTACTGAATTTTGATTTCAAAAAGTTTTCTTGTATTCAAAAGCATGCTTGGTTGGCATCATTGAGATTAAACATCTGCAATATAAAAGCCCAAGAGAAATTATAGAGCTGTTGACTAGCAGTGTCAAATATTGCATGAAGATTTGTTAGGTAAAAAGAAAAACAAGCATATCTGCCTCATTAAAGCATGATTTTCTTTCATTAATCTAATTAATACTTGAAACAAATTCTGAAACTACTTCTTTTTATTTGTGTATTGTTTACCAAAAAATAAATTATTTATGGAAAATGTTTATATTTTTATTCTCCGTTAAATATCTGGGGTTCCGAAAAAATTTTGATAATAAAAGGGATCAGGAAGAAAAAAGTTTAAGAAGCAGTGCTGTGAAAGATGACAAAAGTTTTAAATATTCCATTAGGATATTTTTTAATTTAGTTGATGACAAACTAAAATAAGTTAATTTTTGTAGTTTAGATATCGGAGAATTATTTGCAAATATAATTTTTATATGCCAGTGTTTAAACTACTATTAAATGAGCAGTATCAAAAATCATACAGATTATCTAAAATTAAAAGATATGATTTTATTTTTCAGAAAAAAAATTAAACAGCATTTTAAAATTACAATATATATTTTCGCATGAAAGTTGTGAATTTCTTAGTGTGATGGTATGTAACTGAATGTTTCCCTACAAGATTATCACCAGAATTAAAAAAAATTCTTTGGGTATATATATGAAGCTTCATGATATCATCTATAGACATAGATGAAAGTTGATCAGAAAAATCTTATGAAAGTCTACAGTTCTGTCCTTCCATATATATAACTGTGCTATACTGTGTGTCGTGTTCATCTTCATTTTACCTATACTTCACCTTATCTTTCTCCTTTTTCCAATACATATCTGATTTTTTCATCATGTTGACAGAGTCTGATGAGAACAGAAAGGTCTACATCCATTCAAGCCAGCACGTTCCTTTTGCTAACACTAACCTTCTTTGAGCATGTAACTAAATCCAAGATGTTGAAAATTAACTTCTAAAAGTCATGGACACTGTCGATAAATTTCATATGTTGACACACAAAACTGGGTCAGTATTTCAGCTTTATATGCTGGGCCATTCATTGGCTAGATAAGGCTTGTTACATTGGCCAGCAGGATCATAACACAAATGTTTTTCACTTTTAAGTATTCAGATAGATAAGCCTATTACATACTTTTTTATTTCATAAGGCTAAATTTAAATTGAAATTTAGACTTTCAGATGTACCATTATTTTGATATTGCTACTGAATTGAATGCTGGTTTATAAGGAATTTTACGCTTAAGAATACTTATGTAAAGATAAATTAGTGCTTTTCTCTAAAAAATTCAGCTTTTTTTTTATGTGATTATGTTTAGTAAATGCTTGATCTAGGCAATAGTACTGAAATTTCATGAATAAACAAATCTTTTTTTCTTCATGTAGCCCAAACATTTTTTTGTGGAATTACATGCACACTGCTTGATATTTTTAGTGACAAGACATAATTTCATTGTCAATTTCTGGAGAGTTTGTAATGAGATTACAAATCCTGTCATAAAACTCTACCCCTAATTTATAACATAACTGGCCTAGCCACTGTACATGCACTCCAGGCTTTGAAAGTAAATCTTCACCTTCTAGAGAGCCCAGAGATTTATTCAAAATATACCACAAAACTACATCAGTACGATTATTAGTTACAGCTATAACTTGATCTGGCTAGTAGTTCCTACACACAAGGCATTAAAAGTAATTTAAAAATAATAAAAAATTGGTTTAAAAATATGCTTTATTACTAGTTGTATTTTAGCTAATTTTTATGTATGCAAATTCGTATAGAGGTAACAAAACAAAACTGAAAGCATATTTCCATAGACCTTTGCCAACAGTTTTGCATTTTGACCACTTTTAATCTCTTATCTTTTATTAGAGTTCTTGTTTTCAAAGTAGGTGTTATTAAAAAAAAGTTGTCAGTCATTCTGTTTAAACTCTTTGTTCATTGAAATAACTTAATTCTTAATGTATATAAGGGATAATGAAAAGAATGGCTGTTTTATTAAATGCAAAATAAATACAAAAGACGATAAATGAAAATGCAAGTAATCAATCCATTCCACAGTTGCATAGTGGATTAGAATAAAGTCTGCGAATAGAATCCATAGTTGCACAGTGCATTTTGTTTGCAGATGATAGAATTCTGGCATTTTGAGAAAAATGGTTAAGAATACAAAACTTGAATATTTCTTGCTTCAGTAGTTTTGACAAAGCATTTATCAGGCACCTAAGCAATGTCCATGTTTATTTTAGAAGCACAAATTTTGCACAGTTACCTGAGATTTGAAGTTCTCATAAATCATTAGTGTGATAAAGAAAGTATGTTAATTAGTTCATTAAATTCTATAAATTCATTATTAAATAATGTCTTTCTTATATATCAAGCATTAGATATGCTATAATAGTACTATTACTATTGCAAAAAGGAAAATATAGCATTTTCAACATAAGTAAAGTGTAAATTAAGTCGGTAGTCTATGTTATATTTCCTTGCCTTTTAAGAGTGTTAGAATATATGAAAAATATATGTGTGTGCTTTAAATTCATTTTAATTAAACTATTAATTAAGTATAATTATTAAACTATTTATTGCCTGAAAATGTGTAACTTGTCTAAAAATCATGAGAATTCCACTTATCAAAGTAAATTAATGATAAAGGGCTCTGATATCACTTTTATAAACAGCGTGTGATAAAATGAAATAAATAAATTTTTAATGTTAGAGTATCATATATTTTCAAGTAATAAAACCAATTATGAAGTATTTTATTCAATTTTTTTACTACAAAATTTCAAACTTTAGTCGATATGTTGATGTTTTAAAAATATGTTGTGATATAGTAAACTAACCTTCTAAATTTGTAAAATTTAACCTAGCACACAATTTTTTAATATTGGCAAATAGAGAAAAGAAAACTGGAAATTACTTTTAAAATGAATACAAGAGATGAAGATCAGTGATTATGATTCAGTTTTACTTATCTATTTTAGTTGAACCTATTTTCAGAAGAGAAGCATTTTATTTTGTTGCCTTTCATAATTTATTTTTGCAGTTTTAAAATGCTGTATAAATAACGGTGCAATTGAAAATGCTGTATTTATTGTTTTAGTTTGTAGATATGCATGTTTACTCCCTTTTTGCATACAATCCAAATTTGATGCCTTTTCCTGTAAGATTTTGCCTTAATATCATAATACTACTAAGATAATTTAATTCTCCTAATTGTGTGTATTAAATACTGTTTACTTGTGTTTTCTATAACTGCTAAAAATATTAACATTTTTGTTGTTTATTTCATGTGCTGCTCTCGCACCTAATGCAGCAGGTAATCTATATTTAGATTATATAATGTTTCACATTCACTGTTTTATATCATAGCAATTAAATATTTAAGAATGTTAGTTATTTGCATTTTCTGGAATTTATTAGTTAGGCACAATTAAACTATTGATCATAATACCTGATTATCATTATCAAATGACAAAATGAAGTGAAGAGTTATCAGTTTAGCTTAAAAATTCAGTATTAAGTGTTAATGCCATTGATCTTGTAAAGTCTTATAATTTCATTTAATCCTTTAACCGTTATACTGGAATTTTTCATTTGGATTGTTTAAACAAATGTACCCTATTCCATTACTACACAATGCAGTTTTGTTGTTAATTTCTTGTGATTTTATTTGAAGTAAGTCGGTATGTTGTGACATGTTTACTTCAACAAAAATTTAAAAACTATGGATTTATGGCAAAAAAGACCAAATAATTTATATTCAAATTATTTCATAGAGTTGTTTAATCAGAACACATTAGGAAATGATTTTTAATAAAAATGTGAACATATTATCCAATGCCTCTGGCTGTCAGTTTACCTTTCAGTATTATTTACCTTAGCGAAATATATTTCATGGTTACTTTCTCATATTTATTGTTACAAGAGCAGTTTTATCTGGTGATAAATATTTTCCAATATGTATGACATGCAATATTTTCAAAGCATTCTACGTACAGTAAAATAAATATTATGCTCAATTATATTTATTCCTAGGAATTAAAAATATTCTAAGAATCCATGTCAGAACTGTTTACAAAAATAAAAGGCAGTAAAACTGATGCAAATATATCAGTTTGTTTCATTAGCAATTTAATTGGCAATTTTCTGAAGAATACAGCATAAAATAAATGTAAAGTTGATACAAAAGTCTCTCAAAATAAAATAAAAAAGTTGCTTGATAAAGGGAAACATTTGTTAGTTACTGTAAGTTTATCTGAGAAAGAATGATTACCATATTTGACGGCATATAAGACGCACATTTTTTTCCCTAAATTTGGTCTCAAAAAAGTTACCTGCGTCTTTTACATGAAGGACACAGATTAACTTTTAATACTGAATGCTATTTTTAGCCCAGATAAAGGTCTAGACACGCATAACTTTTTCTACATCTGCGATAATTATTTTGCACATGCGTGAAATATCTGTTGCCAAAAAGCGCCAAAGCTCGAAGCTGATGTCAAAGTTTGAACAGGTTCGATGGTCACATTACATCTATGGAGCCTTTTCTTCTTTACATACACTTTCTTTGACTCATCCGACACACGTGTCGGTATTGGTGCTACTCTGTATAAATGAGTTGGTATCGGTGCTTAAAACTGTTTGTTTAAAAAAAATACGCTGGAAAATGTGTCTACAGGAAACAAAAGATTAAGCTATACAATTCAATATAAACTAGGAGTCTTAAACTACGCCAAAGTGCATGGAAACAGAGCAGCAGCAACACATTTCGGTCCACCACCTACTGAAAAAAAAAAAAAGCTTGCCGTTTGTTAATTTTCTTAAAAATATGGTTAGTAATTGCATTCAGTGATTGTTTATTTGGCTTTTACGAAACGTGAGAACTAAAAGAAACCACATTTTAAGTTATTGTGGTAGATTTTTTTCCTTGTGTGTGATCTTCTAAATAAGGGTGCGTCTTATATGCCGTCAAATACGGTATTTATGTTTTGGTTTTCAGACCTTAACAAAACTTTCTGCTGTTTTGAATGTTCCATTTTATCATTATCTGATCTTTTTAACCCTGTTCTAGAGCAGACAATTCCAGTAATTCATATTGCTTTCAGTAATTAATGAAATCGAAACCAACCTTTGCTTTGTCTTCTGATGTTGTATGTTATCTAAAAGTAAAACTGGAAATACAATGATTATCATTAATTAAGGAAAAATCATAAAAATGACGATTGCTCAAAATGTTACATGCAGAATTTAATGAAACTGGCCCACAGTATAAAATATATAGCAATATAACATTGTAAGAAATTCTCAGACGATTATGCTGTTATAGAAATTAGCATATGTCTAAAAATGTGAGACATTGCTCTTGCAAAGCAGTGACAAGGGTTTGAAGAGGAGGATTGAAAGCAGCTATACATCTTCCTGAAACAACCCAAACATGCTTGATAGAACTCAGGTCCAGTGATTTGGCTGGCCGCTCCAAGCACTGAATTGTTTGCTGCTGATGATAATCATCCACAATATGAGCCCTGTGTAGTCTAGCATTGTCATCTTGTTGCAGGAAATCATTACCTATTGGCCTGTCATAAGTCTGCACATAAGCATTAAAGATGTCATCTCTATACAGGCATGAGCATTCATGGTTCCACATGGAAAGACATGGAGGTCTGTCTGTCCACCCAAAGAGATACCACCCTAAACACAGACACTGCCTTCTCCATGTGTATCTCTTTCATGGATGTTTGATGGATGATAATAGGTTTCAGGTTCTCTCCAAATCAAATAATGCTTGCTATCGTTTTGGAGGCTAAATCTGGACTTGTCCGTAAAGAGATCAGCTTTCCATTCATCAGCCATCCTGTGAACATGTTGTTATGTCCACCTCAAACATTCCCTTCTATGATGTTTACATGAGCAGCAGGCAAATGACTATTCACCTCACATATACAGATCTCCTTCGCGAAGCCGCCTACGCATGATACTGACACCAAACTGCTGCTGTTAGCTGCAGCAAGGAAGGATCTGAGCTGAGTCAGTGTTCCAGTTCTATTCCTCCATGCTCATAGCAACAAATATTGGTCATAGGCACTCGTCATAGCAGCTGGCCTTACTTGGCTGAACCTCCTGGTGCCGAGTATGTGGTTAGAAATTGTTGCCAAAGTCTATGAAGCACAGAAGAACTCGCACTTATCCATTTGGCCTCTTCTGCCTGATTTAGTCTTGCCTCTAGTCTTGCCTCTAGTCTTGATGCCTGGAGGTCATTGATACAAATTGGCTATACCAAATTTCTTATCTCAGTAACACAGCCAAATGTGCGGCCCACTTTCAAATATGCTATTTTATGCTCCTCGCAAATGACATCTTCTGACTGCAGTACCACTAATTTGCATACAGCAGTTTTACTGAATGACCCTATTTGATGGCATATTCAAATTTTATATGGATTATCTTTTTTTTAACTAGTTATTGCTATTGGGATTTTTCCATAATTTTAGGAAACCAATGTAAAATATATATATATATATATGTGAAGATTTGGTAATAGGGGCTAACAGCATAGTAAAAAAATGAGAATGAAAAGAAATTTTATTTACTTCTGAAAAATTATTTCTGCCTTCTGTTATTATATCTAAATGCTGTATAAATTTACAATTAACAGTAATTTAACTAAAGTTGCAAATGTTTCTACTTTAGCAACTGCATCTTTTTCTGATGAGCAGATTTCCTGTGTTGCTACGCTTAGATTTCAAAGGCAAAGATACAGATATTGAAACATATAAATTAGAATCAATTTTGCTATTTACACTCAGAAAACTTAAAAGTTCTGTAATCAATAAGAACTGATAATGAATGGAGACCTAATCAGAAGAGAAGGGCTGATACAATTTTAAAATGTAGTGAACTTTAAAAGATTTACGAGTTTAGCAGGTTAGCACATCCTTGTGTATAAATAAAATTTGTTATAATAAAATACTTGTTTGTTAGTAATGAAATCCATTGGTACAGCTTATTATCCTTTCCTATCCTTATCTTTTGTTTTTTAAGACTGTCAAACCTCGTAAAAAGAAATCTGAACAAATATATTCTTGGCAGATACATATCATAAAACTTTTATGCAGGACAGGTAATTAAATATTCTTGCATTATGCACAGAAATAAAATGAAATATGTGTTTTTTCATCATTCTTAGCAAAAAAACTTTATAATTTATTGATTTTTCTAAAAATTAAACTAATTTTATATGCTAATGTTTGTGTAATCATATTAAAAGGCATTTTATTTTTCTGTTAATTATGGTAGAAATTTTTTTGTTTTTTAAACTAGAATTTTAATGTGAACTAAGTGTATTTTTTTATCTTTGTCTTTCTGAAAATATAAAAAATAATCATGACAAGATAAGAAGAAAAGGCTTTGTGAGGCTAGACGTTTCTATTAAGAAGTTTATTAAATTTTTGATTTGAAATTAATAACACTATAGTAAATGTATTTTTCTCTGTTCAAGGGGCACATTTCAGTGAGGAGGAAATTAAGCTGGCAGAGGATAAATTTGAAGAGTCTTTTAATCTAGCATCAATGGGAATGTTCAATCTTTTAGAAAATGATGTAAGTGAATTTATGCAATTGACTGACATTTTTACCAACCTTCAGTTTGCAAACTGTTTGCTTTTTCAAATTATTGCATTGATCCTAGAAGGTATCCAGAATTAATGTTGATTTCCACTTTGCTTTACTATTTAAAATTATGCATTTTCACTTTTCACAAAACTCAAACTATCCACTTATTTTTATTTCTCTTTGAAAGTTAAAAACTCACATGAGATATACAAAATTTCCTGAAATTCTTTAAATGACGGAATTTTATCAACTTTTGGCTGGGAAATTTCAAGCTAATAGAGAAAGAAGTAAATGGGTGTTTACATTTTAAATAGGACTAAAATGGCCAAATAAGCATGGGAGCTCTGTAGGAACTCTTGTAGAATTTTTTTGTACTAATTAATTATGAAACAAAAAAAAATCGATTACTTTGCAGTGTCTGACAGTTAAAAGTGATAGCAAATTGTGATTTTCAGTGTTATTCCCATTTATGAACTCTTGCTTTTAAGAGTATTTTTAATAGTTCATATGGGCTTGAAAAATGAAGGGTCCATGTTTTCAATTTGTCAATTGCACTGGAAAACTTCTTTAGATTTGAAGCTGAATTCTCCATTAATGCCTGCTTTTCACATTTGATTCTGTATGATGAATGTTAACTATCCATGTTTCAGAACTTATGCATTTTGTGTATGATAGGTGTTTCCCTATTTTTAGTCACATGCTGTCAATTCAGTCTCCTTTTTCGGTTTCTGATAAATGTAATGAAAGAAAGTCCTTTTGATATCTCTTTATAACATTATATTATTTGGAAGTTAATCAGAGTCTTTTAAGTTGTAGTTATGCCATAGCATATAGCACATTGTATCTAGAATTTCACCTTCCGATTTTTACCCTGAAAACCCGATTTTTGCCAATTCAGTTTTTGTCAAGAGCTGAATTAAATGACTACTTTTTCTCTTATTTATTTAATAAATAATATACAAATTTTTATTAATAGTTGTGCTGAAATTAGTTACATTGCAATATTTGTGAATGTGTGTAATTGAATGAACTATGTAAATAATGATTTAACTTTTCCAGCACGCGCGCAGGCACGAAATTTACAACAAATTCAGTTTTAATGCTCATTTTTTGCATATTGAAGCTGAGACGTTTGAAGGTCATTTCTATTCCTCCTTTCTACCCTTCCCCACATCAAGGAATGTGCCAACAGGAAGTTTCTAGTGTTTCCTTTCGATTCGAAATGGCAACACCACGCTATGAATGTTCTATATTTTCAGTTATGAAATTAATATACCTCATTCCAAGGTATCATGTTTGAAGATTGATAAATTCTATCGGAGGGGAAGAAAAAAATCAAATTTGCGAATACAGTCAAAAGTCGTTAATCCGGACTCGTCGGGACTTCGGCGACACCGGATTATCGATTTTTCCGGATTATAGATCATCAGTTTAAATCTGGTAAGATGGCATGCAGAAATTACAAAATTAAAAATATGAAACCGTAATTTATGAAATAAAGAACAACTATGATCTAAAAGGTATCAAAATTTACAAAAAGAAAATGCTTAATATTTATTTGTTTACTTTATTAAACATTTCTTTCAATGTAAGTTGTTTAAGTTGTTGCTTCGTTTCATGTGATAATACTTTCTCTTTAATTCTATTAAACAGACATAATTTCTTGTTTAGTTACAAAGTTCCGCTGTTCAAGTCCTATAATTGCTGTGTCGAGAATACCGACTAATTTGTTAATCGAAATTTTTTCGTTTTTAATAAACTTTGTGTCTCTTTCTTTACTATCGGAAGCGAATTATAATGACGAGGAACTTGTTTTAAATCATATCAAAAATGGAGTACATCGAGATGAAATACTACATTTAGTAAGGAATTATAAGCCAAATAAAATAAAAACATCTGCCCTGAAGATAAGGATAGTGCTGACAGATCAACTTCCAATTCATTGCGCACCGCGGCATTCCCCCCGCCGAGCAGCGTGAAATTGATAAACAGATTTTGGATTTCGAAACATACTTTGGCTTTAGATCCTTTACGTATTAGCAAATATATATCGGAAATTCTATTTGATATAATCGTAAGTTCAAGCTTACTTTTATAAAATTGCTCTAACAGTCTGCAAAAAATAATAAGCCGGATCCAATTCGAAGATTAAGGAACAACGCAATCTGCAACATTAACTGAATTAGATAATTTTAGCTTAGCTAATACCATCCGTTATACATTAAACATGCATGCGTATACGTTTTATGCACATTCGCAGCCGTAAAGGTCTTACGCGCACACGTAACGCCCACAAACTTTCTGCGCATGAGTCGCGCAGAAAGTTTGTAGCTTTGAGGTCCGGATTATAGATCATTCCGGATTACGGGTGTCCAAATTAACGACTTTTGACTGTATATGACATACACATGCTGAATATATTTACTTCATTTCAGTCAGAAGTGATAATTAACAGATGATTATTTGTACGATTTTACGACATACACGACATAAACATGCTGGTCAGAAGTGATAATTGACAGAAGATTATTTGTACGATTTTAAAACCGGTATACTGAGGGTACTACGCCAATAGATGGCAGCAGCAGTCTTCTCCTTTTCGACTCTGTGACATGACAGAATTTCTTTATATAATAACAGTTGATGTCATATTTGTTTAATTAATTTATAAGAAGTTTAGGATTTAATATTATATTCATGAATTAATAAAGAGTTTACTGACCCTGCACTAGGACTGAATACAAGTATATTAGTTTCTTTTTATTCTTTGTTTACCACACTCGAGTTTCATTCATCTCTGTTTAGCTAAAATTTTTATTTCAGCACTTCACCCTTTCCCAAGAGAAAGACTCATCAATTTCAAAATTGCCGTCTGGGGTCAAAATTTTACACAATTGTAGGGGTTAGTAGCATGTTAGCCTTCATAAAACACCTGTTGCTTCTTGTTTTCCAAAATCTTAGAATGTAGCGAAAATTAAAAGAGGTGATTGACAACTAATTTGTCATTCAGGAGTCGCACTTTCTTCCCTTTCTTTGGTGTGATAAGATCACACAAAGGGAAATGCTTACCTAAAATGGAAATGCACTTAAAGTCCATCTCTTAGTATAATCATAAAAACTGCTGATTTGAAAGCATGTTTTTATTCTTTAGGATAATGCTTTCTTAATTTCAGATGGAAGACTAGGGAACACAAGAGAAATTTGCCCTCTGGGTTAGGATATAAATAGCTTGTTTCCAAAATAATTTTTCACAGTTGGTGCAAGGAGGGAAAAATTTCTAAGGCCCATTTTAGACACAAACTAAAATTTATCCAAAAGTTGAAAAGGAGCTCCTAGGAAGCCAAAGGGGTTGAAAATCGGAATAAGAGCTTTTAGGTGTATCAAATAATAAAATTGTGTAATGGCGTTTCTTCCTGAACAAAAAGATATATTACAACCTGTATTTACAAAAAATTAAAAAAAGGACCCTTACGGTCGTTGATATTCTAAAGTGTGTGTACGTGGAGGGGGGGGCGTGATTCTTGGTGTCACAGCATGAATCATGGTTTTTTTTACATATTATCTAAAGCATAAAGTATAACTTCAAAAATGTTTCATACTTTCTCAGCTGAGTCGTAGTGTTTCATTTTTCAATTTTTTTATTTTTCAGCTGAGTTACATCTGCTTGTAATATTATACTAGTTCGGTTACAGCTCGATATGATTTATGTATGCAGTGTTATATTTGCTATTTTTTTTGTAAAGTAATAATATTGAATTTAAATCAAGTTCAAAAGCTCTTTACCTATATTTTACATAAGTATGTTAAGCTGGGTTGCATCATCAAAGTGCATAAAAACATAAATTTTATTTTTAAAATTTTAAATTTCTAGCAAAATTAAAAAATTTTTTGTCTTCAGACTTACATAACTATATTCAAGCCCACATCTCTACAGATGCATATCAAAAGTATGGAAAATTAATTTAAAAAACAAAAACTAGCAATTGGTAGCTACCTGGAAAAAAATGTCTTAGAGGGGCACCAGCATAAAATATATGCAGGCTCTCAAAATTCAGGATTTCGTTTTAGATTTTTTTTAAGTCTCAATTTTGTGTGTTTAGGATCCATAAGTTATAGTTCATACAAAATTTTACCACAATTTAAATTAATTTATGTACCGCCCCTCAAAGGGTTAAACCTGGTTTGGGTTTGAACGCAGACAAACAGTGTGGTTGGTTTTTGTTCTTCATTTATAATGTGAATATGAGCCAGTTTTTTTTTGGAAATTTCTTTTAGCCAGATAGCCCTCGTGGCTTTGCCGTATTCAAATAATGTAACTTATCCTAAACATTACAAAATGTTATAAAAGGAAATGTTATGCATTTTTAAAACGATTATGAAAAACTGAAACATAGTCTGTTTTGCTGGATTTGTATGTTTTTTCTTTTTAAATAAATTATTTTTCATTGATAATTTTTTTGTGACATCCATCGAAGAGAAAATTATTTGTTTATGCATGATCACTTTGATTTCCTCTCCGCATCTGATTTGTGCAGATTAATTAGAACATATAGATAAGTGCAAATGTATTAGAACATCTTGCATTATTTTGCTGATTATTAAAAATACAATAAACCCTGTCTTAGCAAAAATCTGTAAATGGAACCAGTATTTCTAAGAACATAAAAGCATTATCACATTAGCTGTTTGTTGCCGGAACAAAACGTTTGCAGCAACAGTTCTGAGAAATGGCCTTTGGCGAAATAGGGTTACCATCTTCACTTGGCAAACAGGCTGAAAGCCAAACAAGAATCAGTTATCGCTCAGATTGGCGAAAGTGACGTTTCCTTTCAAGTGAACATTCGCTTCTTCCCGTGTTGTATTTTGTATCGCTCACACGCTTTTCGTTTTAAACTTTATTGTTAGTAATGGAAGATAATAGAAAGGTGATGGCTATCAAGTTAATCACTTTGATCTCCACGCTGGCACTTCATGTAACAGATAAACACACTTCTAGTTATAGCAATCAATTACATCAGTAATAGCCTAATTCTGTATACACCTAAGAATAGTTTAAAAACATGTGCTGGATAAGTCTATTTATCACACATCGCTTATGCGTATTTTCTGTTGTCTGCATTTCAATGAAAATTTGATGGCTCACTGGAAAATTTGTGACCTGGTGAAAGCATTTTCTGACTAACTTTATGGCTCATAATTACTGTTCTGTCCATTCAAATGACAAAAATCTATATGGCTGATATTTACCTCCTCACAGCCAGCAGATACTATTCAGCAAAATGAAGATCAAATAAAGCATATGAATACATGAGCAATCAAACATGTGCGAGTTGTTTACTGTCCCATAGAACACTCGGTAATATACCTAAAACACATTAATTATACCAATCTAGAAATTAGGTGTTCACATCATGAGTTTGTTTTATGGTTTGGTTTATTGAGATTACAGCAAAGCACATTAGGGCTATCTGCCTAAGGGAAGGGATGCCTTCGTGGAGGACTTTCTAAGGGAAACTGGCTCGTATACACGTTACACATGGGGAAAACCACGAAAGCGTCCATGCAGCCAGCCCGTTCGCGGGATTCGAACCTCGGACCGAACTACCAGTGTTCAGCGACTTTACCGCTCGGCCGCTGGTGGGCTCAGTTTGTTTTATGTGATTACCGCAAAGCCTCAAGGGATAACAACAGGAGGGATCCCTTTGTAGAAGATTTTTTAAAACTGGCTCGTATACCAGTTACAAATGGGGCAAACCAAGGAAACGTCATGTAGCCAGCCCGTTCGCGGCATTCTAACCGGAGACAGAACTACCAGTGTTCAACGACGCTTCGGCCACTAGTAGGCCCGTGCACTTAATTGGAAAGTGCAATTCATTATGTAAACAGACATGAAGGTGATAATCAGTTGTGCTCTGTTTTAAGTAATCAAATGTTATAAATGCACAGCTGTTACGTTTCTTATTATTTATTAGTAATGTTTTTATTACGTAGATCATACGTATGATATAATTATGAATTAACCCAATAACAAAATGTGTACACTCTTTAGTACTCAAATACTCATCAATTATTTTTTCAACTGATTATTACATACCCATAATAATTTGCAAAGAACTGATAACTATAGTTGCTGCCAATTACATAATCGTTATCTGAATTTAAAAGTAACTTCAAATAAACTTCATGGCAATGTTCATTTTTGTATTCATACATACATATATATATATACACATCTAATAAGTCATATATTTACATACAGATAGAGAGATGCGATGTTTTAGAAGTTGTTAGTATATATTTATTAGTATTAATGTAATGAATAAGATTTATATTAATGAATGTATATACAAATGTTTTTCATCATGCATAATAATAATCCATAAATTTCCAATGTTTCAATATATAGCATTTACAATAAAAGTATAGTTTCTAATGTATTTATAATTCAAAAAGTATTTCATTAATAACATGAAAATAATAGACAAATTTAATGAGTATTCTCATTATTACATAAGCTAATCTTTTCTTTTTTATGCATCTTTTATGCTGTTTAAAATGTGTCACTGATTATGCAGTTAACAATTTAAAAGATAAGTAATTAGGAGAAAAGCCGCGCATATACAAAGGGATTTTAAAAAATTATTCAACTTAAATTTAAGAAATAAAATTCTATTATATAACAGTGTTATAATACATGATCAGCACGAAATACGACAAACTTGGCGAACTTTTGGCTACAAACAATTTGTAAACAAATCCAAGCTGCAAGAATGTCGTAAAATACTGTCAACTCTGAAATTTCCACGATTATATATTTAATGAATATATACACATTTAAAAAATGACTCAGGCAGTTGTATTACAACAAAACAGCAATAATTAAATCAGCCTCTATTTCCACCGTCCATCACTTCACAGTGAAAGCCATCGCCATATTGAAAGTTACCCGTGATCCTTCAGAAGCTGACCTTTCTTTCGTCTGATTGGTTGAACGTTCGAGGAACACATCTCCAGCCGGAACATTTTGGGAAAAGTTTTAAAATGTTGCTCGTTACCAGGACACGTTCCTCCTAGCTAGACGAAACATTTCTCGGAAGCCTGCCGCTTAAAGCCGTACTACTAGAATCTCGTTTCAGGTAATTGTCCCGGGTAAGCGTGTGCGTCTATAGATGTGATAACAGCGTAAGCAAACACTGGAACTGAACCTTACCTCCCCAAAATGGTCAAATCATTTGAAGACCAAAATCATATGAAACTCTGGGAGGTTGTTTTAGAAAGGATTACAGTTTTTTTATTTAGTTTTTGTTCAAAATTGTGGCATGCTATTAATGTTAGGCATTATTCTATCCACCCCACTTACTACCAGGTTACTACCAAATGCTTATTCATTCCATAGTCAAGTTTTTGAATATGCAAAACACATCACAGATCAAAATTCATTGCAAGCCCTGTGTGACAGGTGAGCTGGAATTATGAGCGAGCAGATGGTGTGTCATTGGTAGAATTAATTTTCCATAGATTGATAAATGTGCATGATGAGTGCATGGGGCAGCCATCAGTCATTATGAATGACTTTATGGAGCAAGTGCAGTAGTACATTTTTAAGAACTTTCACTTCACACTTACATACCTCTGTACCATGTCCTTCAAGTATCTCGGTCATTGCTGCACAAAATTGTTACAAAAAACCTGTTTTTTATGCTATTGTATGGAAGTTGGGTTCCGAAGGAAGTAACTTCCAAACACAAAGTGGAAAGTTTTATCATTAACATTTCTGTAATGATACGATGATGATGAAAATGAGTTTCTTATGGACTGGATCATCAGTGGCAGGGAAATGTGGATTTTGCACTTAATCCCAGACAGCAAGCAACAATCAGTGCATTGATATCACAGTAGATCTCTAAGAAGATGAAGGAAAAAAAAAAAAAAAAAAGAATGGGCAGACTGTTTGGCATGGAAAATGATATGCTTGGTGTTTTAGGACAGTGAAGATGTTCTGTTCATTGAAATTCCTGACAAGAGGGGAGATTGTGAATGCTCGAAATTACTGGTCAGTATTTTCAAAGTGATGTAGAGGTTTAGATGGTTGTCATACATTGGTTCTAATGTCAGCTGGTGAAATTGTAGAACATAGGGATCCAAATGCCTTAATTCTCTATGGGCCTTAATTCTCATGGTGATGATGTTGTAAGTGATTGAATAATTGCTTTATTTGTTACAGTAAATCTTTCCATCTATAGAAAGTAAACATGAAATATGTTTACTTTCTATGGATGACTTTAGTTGAAACTTACTTTCTGGATGCCTTTTGTTTGTTTTAAATAAGTATTTTTTGAGTACTTGTATAATAAGTAGGACAGAAATTACTAAGAATAAGTGTAAGACAAGACGCTTATTCTTAGTTATGCTTTAAGTTATAAAAAAAATATTAATTTGTTGAATAATTTCTGATTTAACTGTAAGAATATGCGTTGTTACATACATTTGTAAGAGAAAAGTGTATTATATTTAAGCTCTAAATCAGAAAATACTAGCAACAAATTGTCTGTACATTACCTGCGAAGATTTTTTAGACTAAAATTTAAATTTTTTGTTCAAATTTAGGTTGAACAAATTTCTCAGTTAGCTACTTTAGCCGAATCATTATACGATTACCATAATCAATGTGCTGCCATCCTACAGAGTGCAACAGAGAGGCTAATTGAACAGTATGTATATGTTTTCGCTCTTTCAGTCTGTGTGTGGTAATTTTTTACTTTTTATCTATTCAATTCTTGTATATAAATTTTCTTCTTCTACATAGAGTTATTTTGTAACTGTGGAGCTAATATGTATTCAATATAAAATAAATATGTCACCATTGAATTTAATGGTGACATATTTAATTAAATCGCGACAGTTTAATGGTTTGTTAATGTTAAACATAGAAAATGCCGTGGTTCGCAAAACAAATATTTATTACTGAGATATGCAGAGTAATACGTAGAGTTACATGCAAGCAGAATAATACTAAGTACAAGCAATAGCACAGATAAATAAGTACAGGCAGAATAATACTAAGCAACGATAAGTGGTTACAAAGGTCATATATATAACTTTATAACAGATCATGGTTTAACAAATCATAAACAAGACACAATAAATAACCAATCAAAAGTAACATATAGAATGAGATTTAAGTTTCAGAATAACTCGGACCTGGCTGAGCTAATGAATGTTTCAGACTTGACAGAAAGCTATACTTCCTTTTAACCAGTAAGAATGCAATTACAAATATCTCAACACTCCCCCTTAATCGCACATTATACAAAACATAAAAGAATTACACAATTTTTAAACAGCTCAAAGATAACAGTTCATAGAATTTTGTTTTGGACAAAGCCTTAGTTAAGATATCTGCAATTTGTAAACCTGATTGTACATATTCAATTCTAATATTATTTTCCTTAACAGTCTTACGAGTGAACTTTAATTTTATATCTATATGTTTCAACCTACCTGAAAAGTTTTCATTAACAATACTTTTGATACATGACTGGTTATCCTCAAAAATATAAACATTTTTAACACTGGAAATTTCATTTACTACATTTTTTATCCATAAAACATCTTGAATACCTTTACATAAAGCAATTATTTCAGCTTCTGTTGAAAGTGCAATACACTTTTGCTTGTTACAGTACCACATAATAGGATAGTTTGAAAAACATTATAAAGTAACCAGTAATTGATTTCCTATCTTGAGTATCTCCCCCCCCCTTAATCTGCATCTACATACAAACACAAGTTTGCCCTTTCCAAATCACCCTTTTTGTATATCAATTTTAAATTTAAGGTGTTTTTCAAGTACCTAAGAATTCTTTTTAGAGCACACCAGGCAACATCAGTAGGATGCTCCTGCAGTTGGCTCAAGCAATTTACTTCAAAAATAATATTGTGATAATATTGGCCTTGTGATATATGCTAAGTAAAGTAAAGATCCAATTAATTCTTTGTATGGGCCATGAAATGCATTTCCTTTCTGAAAATCAGCTGCTGTAGATTTTGGTTGAATGGGAGTTTGGGCTGTTTTACAATCAGACATTTTAAATTTATCAAGTAATTTTTCAATATATGGTTTCTGATCTAAATATAAACAACCAGACTCAAATTTCAGTCTCATACCCAAAAATTCCGAGACACTTACAGATTTTGACATTTTAAATTCATTTGATAACAATGATATTATAATATTTGTTTCTTTTACATCTGAACCTACAATTAATAAGTCATCTACATAAAGAGCCATAATTACTTCTTACAATTTAAATTTCTGATAAAAATACATGGTTCAGAGTCCAATTGCTTAAAATCTAATTTAATAACAAAATTAAGAAATTTCTGATACCATTGTCGAGGAGACTGTTTAAGACCATATAAACTCTTTTTAAGTTTACATTTCTTACCACTCATATCATATCATCATATCCTTTGGCTGGTCCATGTAGATGGATTTCATCTAACTTACCGTTCAAGAAAGCTGTCTTGACATCTAAAGTAAAAGTTTGCAGACCTTCATTATTGATAATTACCAGGATTAAATGTAAAGAGCACATACTAATTCACTGGAGAAAATGTTTCTGTATAATCTATGCCTTCTTTTTGCATGAAGCCACGAGCAACAAGCCTGGCTTTATAAGTTCCATCTCGTTTTTTACGTAGAACCCATTTGCAGGAAATGGCTCTTTTATCAGGGGGTAAACTTTGTAGGTCCCATACGTCGTTATCTTCCATAGATTTCATTTCCTCGTCCATAGCTCTTTTCCATGGTTCTTGTTCTACTTGTGGTAGATTTATAATATCTTCAAATGTCAGAGTGTTTTGTGCAAACATTACTTGGTAAATCTCAGGATCAGGATACCTAACTGGCTGTTTCTTTTCTCTTGAGGATTTTCTTTGTTCCTCCTTCTTATTTGCAGCATTTAATTCGCCGTTATCAGTGTCTGAAATTGATTTGTCTTCATTTTTAATGTCATCATTGTCATTTTCACTCAAATCAGAACTATCGGAAATATATTTTTGATTTTCTACTTTCTTCTTTTCTTCATTAAATTTAACATTTCTGGAAACAATGATGCGTCTTGTTTCTGGAATCATTAAACAATATCCCATTGTGGAATAACCTACAAATATCATTCTGACAGAATTTTTCATCTAGTTTTCTTTCTTTGCGATGGTGGCACTAGAGTATAAGCATCACAGCCAAATACACGCATGTTTTTTAAATCAGGATTTTCACCATACTTCAGAAATAAGGAACATGATTGTCAATTGAACTATTTGGGAGTCGATTATTTATGTAAGCAGCCGTAAGTACTGCTTCACCCCAAAGGAATTTTGGTAATTTTGCCTCAAGTATCATTGCTCTAGCTTTTTCCAGTACAGTTCTATTTGCTCGTTCCATTTAGAAAAGGTGTATAGGGAGGTGCAGGATCTATTTTTACACCTGCTCTTTTAGCAACTTCATGCAATTCTCCACTGACATATTCTTTGGCATTGTCACAGCGCAGTTTTTACAACAGTTGGATTCAATTTAAAGAATAGCTTGAGTTCATCAGCAATGTCACTTTTTCTTTTGAGCAGTCTGATTTCCATAAATCTCGAATAGTCATCAATTATAGTCATGAAATACCTTTCCCCATGGAGTGTTTGAGGTTCTATTGGACCACATATATCAGTGTGTATAGTTTATAAGCGGTTTGGATTCTTTTATGCGAGGACCCTTTCCTATAGGCAAAGCACTTTGTTTGGCACGAACACATACTTCACAAAAGGATTCTTTTGCAGGAAGATTCATTCAGTTTTAATTTTTGATCACAGCAGTGTCCTAACCTTCTGTGCCATAAATCATCATTCTTTACTTACTGCTAAAGCTGTAAATAAATTTGGTGAAAAATCACTAAAATATTGTCCGCATTTATCCAAATATCCAAATCTAAAACGCTTGTTTTTTTTTTTTTTGTTTTCAATATAAACTATTTCATTTTTAAAAATTACGCTCAAACCTGCTGCTTCAATATTTTTAACAGAAATTAATTGTCCGTTTAATTTTGGAACGTAAAGAACATCTTTTAACATTATTTCAACACCATTCTTAGTTTTACCGCAAATATCACCAATTCCTTCCACTTCTAAAACCGCCGACTTAGACGCGCACTTAACAGTTCCAGTCCTTAGGCTTTAATTGAGGTGAAACCATTCCTTGTGAGAAGACATATGAGAAGTTGCACCATAATCAATAATAAATTGATCATGAACAAGATTTCCAGCCATAAAAGATATTGCAGGGGAAGCATACTTATTACTATTTGAAATTGCCTGCTTTTTAGAATTATCAAAACATTCACTTTTAAAATGACCACTTTTCCCACAGTTATGACAGACACAGTTCTTTTTCCTACAAAATTTAATAGAATGTCCTTTTCTTTTACAATAAGTACAAAACAATTCTTTACGAGCACTAATAAAAACAGAGTTATCTGTATTTGGTTTAGAATACTTATTTTCATTTTTATAATCAAACGTGAGAGATTCACAATCAATAAGTCTACTTGTAACAAAATCTAAACTTAAATTATTGCTTGGCTGATTCTGTAGAGATGCCTTAATATTTTCATATTTTTTTGGAAAAGACATGAAAATGTAAATAATAATATCAAAATCACTTACTTCAGAGCCAGGGACGCGTAAACTACTCACCAGGTTCATTATGCTGTCTCATTGACACATCCTTGGATTTCCTTATGGTAGCTAGACGTTTACGCGTTAAAATTTGACTCACTGCACCTTTAGCACTACACGTAGCTTGTAGTTTCTTCCATATTTTACATGCAGTGTCTTCACATTGAAGAGAAGCAATTACATTATCACTTAGAAGGGCAAGTATTAAGGCATAAGCCTTTTTTGATTTCAAAACATCTGCAACTCTGTCCGCAACTGCTTCTGTTTCCAAAAACGTATCCAATTCTCTTGCCGTAAATACTGCTCGAACTCTTCGACACCAAACAGTAAAGTTATTAACACCGTCAAATGGCGCTACACCAAAAGCTTCCCTTTCACCTCCGAAAAAAAGCCATCATTCGCAATATACCAAATCAAAATCACGCGAACGATAAATTATTACACTGAAGGTTCAATTAGGGAAACTATCAGCGAGTTCTAACTTTTGAAGGAACCACGCTCTGCTGTTAAACATAGAAAATGCCGTGGTTCGCAAAACAAATATTTATTACTGAGATATGCAGAGTAATACGCAGAGTTACATGCAAGCAGAATAATACTAAGTACAAGCAATAGCACAGATAAATAAGTACAGGCAGAATAATACTAAGCAACGATAAGTGGTTACAAAGGTCATATATATAACTTTATAACAGATCATGGTTTAACAAATCATAAACAAGACACAATAAATAACCAATCAAAAGTAACATATAGAATGAGATTTAAGTTTCAGAATAACTCGGACCTGGCTGAAAGCTAATGAATGTTTCGGACTTGACAGAAAGCTATATTTCCTTTTAACCAGTAAGAATGCGATTACAAATATCTCAACAGTTAACATGAAGTTGTTTTAATAAATAGCCAGTTTATTTTGTTCTAACAACAGTGTTTCTAGAAGACTGAAGTTTAGTGTTGTTGCACTCTTAGCTACTTAATTTTTTTAATCTGTCACACTCAATCTTTGCACATTATGAAGAAGGTAGAGCTATGTTAACCTAGGTATACTAAAAAAAATATATATTTATGGAAAGGAGCCAAGTGGCATGACAAGGGTTGTTTCAATTCATGTCAAAGAGCCAAACAGTATGATAGTGCTTGTTTCAATTTATGTTACGAAATGGTACTTGTTATTATTTACATCAAGAAAAAGCATATAAATATTGAAAACAATAGCATTCAATGTGGTGAGTCGCATGGTTTTAAATGAGTGTTACAAGAAAATGGAAGAAAATTAAAATTTCAGCTAAATTTTCATAATTACTTTTGAAATTTCTGACCAGTTGGGTGAAGGAAAAGAAAAAGCAACTCTTCAATTCTCTGATCTGGGGAAAAGAATGATGCTGTAAAATAATGAGCACATATGTCAATGCACAATCTACTACAGTAATGATAACAACAACAACCAAATCAAAATAAAATCTGAAAGCAGATACATCTCACCTGAAAGCTTTCAGATTTTTATATTGGGCCCAAACGGGCATTTTTTTCATTTACAGACAGCTATTTCATTTCAAGACCATTTGAGCTAATTACACTTTGGGCTAAAAATATTTTAAAACAACATGTCTGTAGAATTTCTGATAGAGAATCTTGCATGCTAGAGATAAAAAATGTTTTCTTCCATACAATGTTGCCACTGCTTGCTTTGAAATTGTGAGTTTTTTAATCAAAAATTCATTTAAGTTTTACAAAATATGAAATAGACAGTAAAACAGATTGAAAATTCCAAATTCAGGTGCCCAGGTTTGGGTGGAGGACTATGTTATTCAAAAATTGATGACTATAGGTACTGTTGTTTTTTCACAGTGCAAGAAATTTAATTTATGCAGATTCTTCATTATTTAGCTTTTTTAAATATAATACATGGCAATAATATTTGGTGGCAACAATTTGAAAAGTGATACATTGCATTTAAGTGATACAATGCAAAATGTCGTTTCAAGAATAATAACCCATCTGGGCTAATGCCTCATTAGGTGAAAAACTAACATAAAAATCATCTTATTTAATTGTAGTGGCTGTGAAAAGGTGGTTATCTGACATGCTTTGACAAACAAATATTTTGAAAATGAATTATTTCTAACTAAGAAACTACTTGTTTTTAAATTTTAATTAAAATTTAATGTAGCTGATATATTAATTGAAACATATAATATAACAAAAGTTAATTATATTTGAGGTAATGTTTATATTTAAAATTAAAAATATTTTTAGTCATACTAATTTATGATTTATATTTAAGAACAGAGGTAACTTCTGATCCCAGTCTTGTAGTTTCCTTTAAACAATCAGTGAAAGGTTATTAAGGATAGTTCAATTAAACCTCTGTATCATGCTGTCTAACTGCAAATGTGAAGGTTTCGTTTGAGTTTTTCAATGCTGAGTATTTTACAGATTTCTTTAATTACAGCTAAAATAAAATTCCTTTCTTGATCGGAATGTCACTAAAGAGACAAGACACTTCAAACCTAGAAATCTAGTGCTGTATCATTATATCTACTGCTGTGACAGCTGCTTGATCAGGGATAGGATACACTTCAGGCCATTTTGTCAAATAATCAATGACAGCAAGAATGTATTTGTTGCCACCAACAGTTCTTGGCAGAGGTTTTGAGATATCCGAGGCAATGCCTTCAAAATGGGCTCTTGCGCTGTAGCATTGTAGTTTCTCACAGCTGTTTTCTTTCTCCTACCCGCAAAGCATCGCAAAATTGGCCTCACTTTTGCACATCAGCCCTCACATTACTGCAGTAAAAGTGCTCTCAGTCTTCATTATTCCGAAGTGTCCTCCTGTTGCACTTCTGTGTAATTATTTAAGAACATTTGAGATCTTGGAAATATCAGCTGCCAATGGAATGCCTTTCAGTCATCTGATTCGAACTTCCGAAACAAGAGACCGTTTTGAATGTGGAGTGCGTTCTAGAAAGCCCATTATTGTTTTGCCGCAGGCCTACAGATCAAAATGTCTTGCCAGGAACTTTTCACAAAATTATTCTTACAGCTCTTTTCAGTATGATAAACCACAATCTCTAGTTATCACTTCAGATGATTAACCATTTCCTAGTTTCGCACGAACGCCGTTTGGGTACTTGGAAATGGCACTTTATTTATTTTCCTGAGCAGCACTCGGGCAACATTTTTTTCTAGTCTAATACACTGATTTACCCAAATTTTTTGCTTGCTTAGTGTATAATGTTTCTAACAGATGGCACTAGTAATCCAGTAAAGTTAGAATTGCAAACAAACTGGTTTCGAGGTTAGGTTTTACTGAATTCTTTTACGCAAGTAAAGGCACGAAATTTCTTTTCACTAGCTCGGTGTTCCGACTACTGCGAATACTATTTCTTTTAAATTTGGAGCTATAATAAAGGAAGAAATGAATGATAATGAGCAGCTTATAACTGAAGATAACTCTGATATTGACTCAGATAGTGAATCTGAAATTTCACTGAATGATTCTGGAAGTAATGACAATTTGTTGTCTGACTTCTCTAGTGATGAAGAAACGGAAAGTATAAATAATCTAATGCAAATTTGGAACTTTTGTGAACTTGATATTAATAATCCTTCTTTCTTGATATTAATAATTTTTCTTTGGAATCGAACAGATATGTAATAACAATAAAACATTTTAAATTCTGACATCTATTTTTGTAAAGTTTTCTTTCTAGTTCGCTTACTTCTTCGAAAAAAGCCAACCTTAAGGAAAAGTGTGCCTTTTATGATGAAAATAAAAATTAGCATAAATCAATAACTTCAATACTTGTAATAGTTCTGACTGCTGATTTGGGTTTATATAATGAATTTCTTCATAAAAATGTTTATAAAAAATATGCTTGTTTTTTGTCATAATATGACGGAAGAAAGAAATTGTTAAGCGGTTAAGAGCATTAAACAGATTCGCAGTGCAGAGTGCATCTAAAGAATAAAGCTTGAAGAGAGATCTCTAAATACTCTGTAGTCAAAAAACTGAGAACTGATGCTCTCTTTGGTCTAATATAGTTTTTCCCAGCCACCAAGAATTTTCTAGTACCTTCTATTTCTCGAGATTACTGGGAGGCATATAAGTTACATATTAGGACCGAATATGGTTACAGTTATATATAGGAATCAAATTACAGTTATTCAATCACAGTACCTATTACAGTTATATTGAGACAAGGGACCAAAATATTGCCAAATGGTCTCCAAGTTTGGAGACTTTTTGTGATTTTTGAACATCAAAAATTTAACCAGCTTGTCGATAGCTTGTTAATTTAGCGAGGTCATGTACCCCAGTGTTAAATAGACTTGCCCCTGTAATCTTATTTTTCTGACAGAGCTTCACTTTTCTTGAAGCTGTTCATGTCACATTATACAAAATTCATAACAACAGCTTAAAATTTAAGCCAACATGCTAAAAGGATATGTGTTAATTTAATAAGTGCCTCAGTGTAAGTGATTAGTTATTTGTATTTCCAAATAAATTTGTAGTAACTAATTTATTAGAAAGAAATCAATTATGTGGGAATTTTGTATAATAACATATAAAATGTAGGCTTTTACGGAAAAATCAGATATCTTGAGTGCAAAATGATCTAATTTGTTGGATACATTGAATTTTATAAAGTATATTGTCATTTGTCATAGTTCAACACAGACTTTTAATTTAATAAACAGCGAGGAATTTTGGTGTTCTCTATAATTGTTTTTAACCATTTTTTTCATTATTATTGATGCTTTTTTTTTTTTTTTTTTTAAATATCTGTAGTAGAATTGCTCCAGTTTTTCATTAGAATTCTTGATGTAAATGTAACATTTTCGAATTTGTTTAGCATAAAGTTATTGAATGAACGAAAGAGGGTGTTGTTGCTATGAATTGACTGTTCGGCAAATGATATTTACTATCAAACTTAATTTAAAACTTCAGAGAAAATGGAGCTCTCCATCATTGAATTTCAGGCTGAAAAACTGATGTATTATATCTGAGGACAAATTTTAGTTATAATTAACTCAGAAAAAAATATTTGAAATGAATATCCTGACTATATGGACTTAACCATAATTATTAGAAATTGTTTAGTTTATTATATGACCTGAGATGTAAAAACTTAGACAAACTTAATAAGTCTTTTTTCTGAAGAAATATAAATAAATAAACCTAATACCTCAGTTTGTAATGTTGTGTAACAATAACTATTGCATTTATCTATTTAGGATACCTTATTGTATTTAGGTTATTCAGTTTTCTTTATAAAAATCTGTCTTATACTGATTTTATAAAATTTAGGAGAAATGAAGCTGCAAATCGTCCAAAGGAAACATACCAACCTAAGAAACTTCATGAATTAAATATACCCTCCTTGCATGATGATATCTCTCCACAAGTCGAATATGGAGGTAATATTAATGGTGGTACAGTAATCCCTACTATCAAAGGTAAATAGTTATTTTAATTCAAAGCCAGCAGTTGCTGCCCTAGCTTTTCATTCTCTTTGCCTGTGTGCTTTCCTTCAGCTGTGTGCTTGGCCACCACAACATTTTCATTCTTTATTATAGCTCATTTGTGGGTAAATATAATACTCTTGTCTCATTCTGTCTGTACGAATTTCTAATCATGTTGCATGGATGTGTGAGTGAGGTTCAGTATTAAGAAGTGTATTTGATTTTTCCTTCAAAAGTTATTCTAAAAGATGAAAATCAGTTTACATCAGCATGCATAAGGTTTTATATGTTATTTTGCTTTTATAAACTTGCTGTTATAGCTTTATCTATTATTAACTTGCTTTTTTAAGTATAATCAAAAATTAAAGTAAGACAAAAAAATTAAGCATTTTGTGAATTTTAAAAAAATTAATTTAATCTTGTGGCAAAACTGTTTCAAGAAATATGGATTACTGTTTATTTAAATATTATAGATGTTATTTTGAACTTGCACTAGCTTTGACATTTGATATTTCTTGTCTATTTGTTTTTTTAATTTAAATATTCTTTGTGTGTAGCTTAATTCAATTCAGAGTTTAAAGTATATTTTTTTTGAAAGGAAGTAATTTAAAAATTCCATTTAAAGTAATTTGAATGTCAAAAATAATAGTTATCTATGTAGTTTTATTTTGGAAAACATTTTAGACAAGTGATTGTAATTTCTTGAAATAGATTTGTTTTTTAAATGGCTCTTTTTCTGCTATTCTATTTATATAGAATATAATTTTACTGAGTCTTCATTTAAGTTATTAGGGCAGAAATTTTCTTTCAGTTGAAACTTGTATAAAGATTTTGCAAATATTCATTCACATCCTATAAGCTTTAGATAAATCAGAAATGCTATAATATCGGAGTATTGAAATAAAATTTTTGAAGTTTTAAATTGTGTTTTTGATGCTCATATCTTTTGATTTCTGGGACTGAAAGCATCAGTATGTGTCTGAATTCCTGTGTTACTACATATCATATGTGGACTTCTATCTTTAATTTTGATGTATTTTATAATCTATTTGTTATTTCCAGAAATTTGTTTTGAAAGAACACTTACAAATAAAAAATGTCACTGTGTATAAGCAAAAAATTCAGATTAGAAAAATTAAAACCCAGAATTACAACCCTGTGAATGAAAATCTGTAAACTTATATGAACTCCAGAATTTTTAAAAGCAGCTCAGTTACGCAAATGATTAATGCTTTGAATTTATTTCATGGCTGATGATTTATAATATGTAAAGTAAATAGAATTTGTTGGTGTTAATTGCATTTTTAGAGCTGTTTGAAATGTTTATGAAGAAAAATTCACTAATAAGTGTTGGAGGATATTCATGCTATATCATACACTTGAGTCAAATCACACTTGAATATGGACAAAAGCAGGATCATTGAGCTCTGAGATACTGATTTGCTCATGCTTGTATCTGGTAGTCATTTGGGAAGAAAATTTGAGCATTGTAAAATGATGAGTTATTAAAACTCATCACTGAAAAACTGAATAAAATGACTTGACTTATTGGTCATACAATTTGCAAAATCTATTTGTATTTGAAAGTGCACTGAAGAGCCTCATTTGCCAATCATGGGAACTGCAAACTCAGATCTTAACATTTAAATGGTAGAAATGTAGATAAAACTAGGATAAAACTAAACATCTAAATGGAAAAAAAATGTTCTTTTCTTTTTTCCTGTTGAGTCTCCCTGGACCTTTTAAAAAAAATATTGGTCAAAGAATGCTCTGGAACCATCGAGGGCAATACTTAGAATAAACATTCGAGGCGCTTTTAACTGCATGGAAGTGCATTGACTTGATTATGGCTTCTTTTGTATTGTTATATACGCAAAACCCACCTAAACCTGACTTCCAGTAGGTTAATGTACAGGGTGGTCAGAATTAAAACACCCCTGTTCTGAGCTCTGTATACATTGAACTACTGAGTGTATAGGCTCCAAAATTGTTGAACATACTATTCAAAACATGGGGATACGGATTACACGAGAAAACAAAATTAGTCCAAGAAACACCGATAGATGGCCCTGTATAACAGAAAATATGCTGAAAAGACACAAAGTACACATTTCTAACACATTTTATTCGAATTTTCCCATCATTCATATCATAAGACCTTATCGATGCAGGGGAAGCTGCTCAATATGGTAGTGTTCCCTTTTTCAAGATGTAAAATCTGCAGCTTGTTCAACTGTGGATCGTAATTGGTCAATTGAGATGCTCCTCACATGCAGAGTGATACTGTCTTTCAAATCTCCAAGGCTACCAGACATCCCCGATAAAAGAGATTTTTTAAGTAACTCCACAGCCAAAAATCATAGCGATTAAGACCTGGAGAACAAGATGGCCAGGTTGTCAGAAATGCAAGACTAATTACTGTATCATTAGTAAAAGGTTGCCAAGGAAACTGCCATACACAAAGTCCAATGTGTGGAGGTCCTCCATCTTGCATAAAGGTAATTGAATCAAGATATTGGTGCTGTTGGATTTGGTGTACAACAAAATTTTCGATCATGTTTTGGTACCTCCTGGCCATCATGGCGCATGTCATAGGGCCATTGCGAGTACCCTCTTTGAAAAAGAAAGGTCTAAGAATGAATGTGTCTGAAAATGCACATCAGACTGTAACTCTTAAGTGAGTGAAGTGGAATCTCTCAGAAGGTACGAGGGTTTTCGATTTTCCAAATGTGACAGTTATTGTTGTTAATTGTTCCTTTTAAAAGGAAATGTGCTTCATTGCTCCATAGAATCTGCCATGACCACAATGCATCCACTCAACTCTAGCCAGAAATGTCAATGCAAAGGTCAATCGCTTCTCCCTGTCGATGGGCAGCAACTGCTGATTGTGATGGATTTTGTACGGGTAAAATTGCACCATTTTCCTCAATACATTCTGCACTGTACAGTAGGGAAGACCCAAGTTCTGTGAAACTGCACATGAACTACTACAGCCGACAATGTTTTCCATTGATTGCTCAACAATAGCAGTGGCAACATTTTCGATGACATTTGGACAAGTTGATTTTTGTCCTCGACCCACCTGAACTGTAAGATCTCCAGTTTGCCCAGAAGATACCCAGAACAGTAACTGCAAACCAGGGGTTTATGCAAATTTTTGTGCTTACAGTGTGAAATTGCAGTGACAATGATAGTTTAAGTTTCTTCAGTTTTTTTTATCTTTTTTTCATATCAGCAATAAATATTAAAAAGGAAAATTTCCATACTTCAAGTGTTTGTTTATGTTTGTTTTGGTGTTTCTGGGACTAATTTTTTTTCTACTTACTCTGCTTCCTCATGTCTTGATAATATGTTCAAGAATTTTGGAGCCTTTAACACTCAGTAGTTTGATGTATAGAGAGCTCATAGGGGTGTTTTAATTCTGACTACCTTGTACATGCACTCACAGTTAATTATACCTTTAACAAACCAAAGTAGTTGACATCTTACTGTAGCCTTTGTTCTCCAGATTTGTCACTGAAAGACCATATGTGACCTTGTTAGACAAAAGTTCTCGTCTAGACTCCTTCCGACTAATCTGACTTTTTGTGTGCTCTAGCTGGTCTTGCTTTCTGCAGTACACTCTAAGTAACACAATGCGTAATCTTTTGATTTGTGATATATCTTTCAAAGTAATGCCTATATTGTTGCTCTTAATGCACATGTTCAGAATAAATGCCTATATTGTTGCTCTTAATGAATAAAAACCTATTTTTCAGTTGTCAAATTCAAATGAACAGTAATGCATCTTGTTTGTTCCTTAATAGGCGTGTAATTTTCATAATACTATGGATTATGTCATAGTGTAGCAGTTTAATTGCTGAGGAATATATGTAAGGATGTGTTTTTCCTACACCAGTAGTACAGAATTCTTCATCAGTCCATTAAAAAGTCTTTTTCCCTTTTATATTTTAATATGGGCTTTAATTTTTGAAATGCCATTGCTGAAAAGAAAATGTATTTTTAAAAGCATTTCTAAACATAAGAAATATTTTTCTTTTCTTTTCTCTCTATCTTTTTTTCGTTTTTATGTCCCATTTTTAAATAAAGATTTAAATCTAACTGTATGCTTAATTTCCTGTAGAAAGCAAACTAATAAAACAAGTTTTATTTTACCTACCTTAAGAGACTATATTGAGATAATTCTAAAATCCTGTAATTTCCTTCAGCTTCTCCTGCACGATCTCCTGCCAGTACTCCTGTTGAACATGCTCCTCATAAACCTCTTTTTCTTGGGGGCCTTACTGCAGGTGGTCAATCTGCAACTGCCTCACCTGGTCGCTCTCCTAATCGTTCTCCTAACGGTACTAACGTTCTTTAATACTTCCTTTTTACTAACAAATTTTATAACATTTTGTTATTAATTATGTACTAAAATATATTTGTTATAGACGTGTAATTATAAAAAACAATTGTTTAAACTCTTTTTCACAAAATCACTTTTTTGAAAAATCTATAATTCTTATTTTCTCCCTTCCCTGTATTATGAGGGACAATATAAGTTCTACAAAGAACTAAAAGAGAGAATAATTAAATGCATACAGGGACTCTCTAAAAGAGGACAGAGTTTTTACTTTCCTGAAAAGCTCTGGAAATTAAAATTTTTAGAGAAGTAACCCAGATTTTTTTTTAATAGTGCAGATCAATTTTCTTAAACTAAAAATTTCATGTTTTAAGTCGTATTTAATAAAACAAATTAATCCTTCTTGTTGTAAAGGAAACAGGTAAAAAGTATTATTATAATCTTTCCCCTCTCCTTGCAGAAAGTATTTTATATGCTTCATTTCATATACAATTTTATTATTTCATAACTCTATTCTCCACCTGTTGATGAACTGCCATTCACTCCTTTAGTAATGTAACTTACATTATCCCCTAAGTTATCCTTTAATTGTATAATTGACCTGCAGAACTTAAAAATATGTATTTAAGATGTCACTACAGTTTATAGCTGTACATCATTATGACGCTAAATACCTTTTTCTGCTTTATATAATTTTTAGCTTCTCACCATGATTTTGAAGCATCATAGGAGTAATGCACTGTGTGATGTAAAAGTAACAGTATAAAAGTTTAATAATTTGTGGAAAAGTCGTGACAGTGGCATAATGTGGTTTTTCATGAAAATTCACAAGAAGACAAGATTTTTATTAAGAAATGGAAACATTTATAGGCAGAATAATATTTTGCATAATGGCGCAGCACATTTTGCAATACAGCTAGGATTATAAATTTCAATGAGGTGGCCATCAGGTGTGACATGATGCTTTGCTCAACATCAAAGAAGATTTTTGGCATATGATGGCAAATAGCTTCTTTCTGCATGGCCTGTGACTTGTGCCAGCTTTGTACATTTGTGACTTCAAGTATCCTTATTATCCAGTGTTACAAGGTGTGAGTGACTGGGTCATTGGATAGTCTATTGCAGTTAGGTACTTGACAAGACTTGTGATGTGCAGATGTGTTCCATCCTTTGTAAAGGTTACACAATGAAGAGCTTGCTTCTCTTGCAGGAACAAAATATACTGTAGCTAAAAGCTCTATATAACACTCACCAATGGCATAAACTGTCTGAAATATATTGATATGGACTTCTTTAAAGTAAAAGGAAGCTGTTATGAATGACATAGAGAAAATGCATTACACTGTCATCTTTAGCTGATGGAAAGGGATTCCACTATAGTGACTGGAATCTCTCCCCCCCCCCAAATGCAGCAGTTTGTAAGCATTAACACTTCCATCAATTGAAAAAGGTGTGCCTCCTAAGTTCATAAGATATTTAATAGCCATTCTGTGTTGTTTTCCATGTGTTGAAAAATCCAGTTCGCAAATTCATGATGTCTCCTTAGCCCTTTCAGCCTATTTTTTCCTCGGTAGCTACCAATTGTTAATTTTTGATTTTAAAGCTGTTTTTTCGTACTTTTGATGTGTGTCGTATAGAAATAGGTGCTTGAATATAGTTATGTAAGTCTGAAGACAAAAACTTAAAATTTCACTAGAAATTTAAAATTTTAAAAATAAAATTTGTTTTTATGCACTTTGATTATGCAACTCAGCTGAACATACTTATGTAAAATATAGGTAAAAAGCTTTTAAAAGTGATTTAAATTGAATATTATTATTTTATGAAAAAAATTTAGCAAATATAACACTGCATGTGCAAACCGTATAATTCTGTAACTGAACTAGTGTAATGTTACAAGGAGATGTAACTCAGCTGGAAAATAGAAAATTGAAAAATGAAACCCTGCAACTCAGCTGAAAAATTGAAGTTACATTTTTGAAGTTATTATATTTTATGCTTTATATGAGAGATAAAAAAGCATACTTCCTGCTATGATACCAAGTATTGCCCCATGCACACTTTTTAATTTTTTGTAAATATTTGTAATATAACATTTTGTTCTGGAAGAATAGCCATTAGACATTTTATTATTTGATACACCTCAAAGCTCTTATTTTGATTTTTAGCCCCTTTGACTTCCTAGGGGCCCCTTTTAAACTTTTCGCTAAATAAGGTAGTAATAAATAATTTTGCTCATATCTCTTCAATAGAGGTAAAGTACTAACACACCTTGAAGGCCTTTTTCTTTTTTTCAATTATCAGGCCCATGGGTCTTGTGGAATCGCCTTTCAAACCTTTTTTGCAAACATAGGTTATACTATTTTGTAAATGTTATCACCTACTTGTATCTTAACACAGGGGAAAAACCCTTTTGTTCCCTAGTCTCTTATCTGAAATTAATAAAGACAATACTCTAAAGCATAAAAGCATGCTTTCAAATCAGTAGTTTTTCCATTCCCTAAGAGACAGACCTAAAGTGCATTCCTATTTTTTGTGTTTGCAAGTGAACTTTCCTTTTGTGTGATCTTTTCACAGCCTAGTTGTGGAAATTGCATGACCTCTGCATGAAAAAAATTAGGTAATCATCTCTGTTCATTTTCGCTGCCTTTTAGTGTTTTTAAAAATACCAAGTGATGTGTATTTTTCGGGCTAATATGCCACATTGAACTCCTACAGTTGTGTAACATTTTCAATCCAGATGACAATTTTGAAATTGATGAGTTTTTCTGTGGGGAAAGTAATGAAATTAAAATTTCAGCTAAACAGAGACGAATGAGAAACTCGTCTAGAGTAAGCAAAGAATAAAAGGAAACTAAGGTACTTTATTCATTATTAGCACAAGGTCAGTAAACTCCCCATGCTCCCACGAATATAAAATTTAATCCTGAGCAACTTGTAAATTAATCATAAACAATTATAATATTATAAAATTTTGTCGTCTCATGAAGTAGAGAAGGATAATCTATTCTCTTAATACCCTCAGTATGGGGGCCAGTATATTTTATATACCTGTTTTAAAATCATATAAATAATCCCTTTTTAATTACCAGTTCTGACTGAAATGCAGTAAATATATATAAGGTTCAACATGTGTACATTGTATATTTGCATATTTTGAATTTTTTCTCCCTCTCCAATAGAATTTATGAATATTCAAACATAATATCTTAGAATGAAGTATATTAATTTCATAACAGCAAAATATTGACCATTCATAGGGTAGTTCTGACATTTAGAATCAAAAGAAAACATTAGAAACTTATTATTACAGCTTTTAATGTAGAAAAATTACCATTTTTAGGAGTTTAAAAATTTGATAAACATATAGTATATTTTATATACCAGTGTCCTTTAAAGGATTAAATCAGATAGTTTCAGTTCACGTATGTGTTAGATATTGTAAAGATTTCATCTTGAGAATTCAGTGACTACTGTACAGTTTCATACAAAGTACCACTTTGTCTCAAATTTCCATGTAGACTGTGTGTCTACTCCATGCACGAAAGCTGCTGATTTTGTGTTGGTCTCTTTTTCGACTACTTATTCAACTGCAGTATTTTTTTTTGGGGGGGGGGGAAGCTTCTTACAAATGTTTCCATTATCCTCAAACCTTTTCATTATAGCTATCACTGAGAAACAAGACACTGGTTCTTTTCCAGTTTTAATACTCTGCATGGAATAATAGGTGCACATTTAGAGTTCTGCTAATAATGCTTAGCTAAAATTGTTTTATCTTGTAAACATGCCTCATTTTGGCAAAAATGTGCAGTAATGGGCTCAATGCTGGAACTTTAGCCTCAGCATTCACTACATGTGCAATTTACGTACCTTGTGGCAAAATCAGATTCATTAATCTTTGCTGTCTCCCACTGTTTGAGAAGTGGGCAGTAAGTGGATCTATTCATCAACTAAAAGTAGTTCTGGTATCATTGCAGCATCGCCTGATAATAAGGTGGTAAATATAACTATTCCACAATGAAAATTTTTGTTATTAAAAACAACTTGCTGTGAGAAATGAATGTATTGTGCTACTATAAATTTTTCTCTTTCATTTGCATCACTTGATATGTTGCGAATGATGTACTGCTATAAATTTCTCTTTCGAAATGAACAGTTATCCTTTGAGTGTTTTATATTCCTTTTTAAAGAAACCTTACGTACTTTTTTCACTGGTTTATAAGCATTATTCCTGAATATATATATTTCTTTCATTTGTTTCAGAGTAATAAATACAATATTGATTTTTTCATTATTTCATTTTATTTTGTATTATAAATAAAACCCTTTTCAATAAATTTTCAGTTGCTCATACGGCTTGTGTTTGATCGGAGAAATTGTTTCATTTGGTCATAAAAAGTCAGAGAAAGACAGAAAAATTAATGGGAAACCTTTGAGACTCGCATCAGAAATCATGTATATACACTAAAAGGTAATCTAATGGGAAAACAAGTCAGTGGGAAGGGTCCAGGCTTCAAAGATGGGGGCTGCATTGATAGTGATTTTACAGAAAATCAGCATCTAGAAAACACTAGCCAAAAGAGAGTGGAGTAGAAGAGAGTTCAGAAGAGGGCAATGGCAGGCTTTGGAATATCTTGCCAGTAGGAGATGAAATTGAAATATAGGCAGATATAAAACGATAATTTAAAAAGAAAATTATATGTTATAATAGGAAAGGCAGCATTGCATGAAAATGCAGATTGAATTATTAAATGCTATATGTATCTGTTTATTCCATTTTATTAATAATGATTTCATTTAATAGCTGTTTTTCTGAAAAATAACACTGTCATCATTATTCAATCCTTTTACAGTAGAACTGAAGCTCTTTTTTTATTGTAACTAAATTGTAATAAATAAATATTTCTTAAATTGATGTAAAAAAGTTTTTAGATGAATCTAATTATTAAATGAATTTTATTTCATGCTTTAATAATTAAAATTAATTTATAAATATAAAGTTATTTATATGAATCCAAATAATTTGTAAATAAAAAATATAAAAAATTCCTTACTGAAGTCAGGTGCAACCTAAGATTTGGGGGGGGGGATTTGATAAAGAATTTACATTACAAGACTCTTAAATCAAACTATTCCATTTTAAAGAGAAAGTTTGCATAAATTTTCCTTCTTTCTCCCTTCCCCACTTTTAATTTTAGCAGGAACAGAATAAGTCTGTAGAACTGTGAACTGTACTGCAAAAATTACGTGCATGCAAAAAGGGAAAAAGAATTTGAATGAGTTAGTTGATGGTGCTTTTCAAAAATTAAGTCAATTTTTCAGTATAATTTTGTATCGTTCCAACTCCACTTTAATATGTTTCATACACAATGCAGATATAAAGAGTGTTGTATATTTTTTTTTTTTTTTTTTTTTTTTTTTTTTTTTGCTGCTGCTAAATATTGCAGTAGAATTTTTAACAGTTCTGTCTTTTCAAACTTAAGTCTAGTTTGTTTTGCTTATTTTATGCTGTTAAGCTAATTAAGTTGGTTTTTGATAATGTAGATTTAATTTAGTTGGTTTTTGATAAGTAGGAGATGCCAAAGAGTACTTGTCTGTATGGCAAAGTGTACAGTATTCTTGGTATGATTTTAGTCTCTTGTTCTGCTGAGCTAAGAAGTTAGAATTTAAATAGCAGATAGTAAAATTTTATCTCACGCTATCATCATTCAAAACATATTACTATTTTTTTTAATATTACATTATTTTCAAATTTCAACATTAACTGATCACTTAAAGAAATTTTAATTTCACTAGTAGTCAATCTGGTAAGGTTACTGTCAGAAAATTCTCTTTGTTTTCTGTACTTTATTGTAAAGTATGTGTGTTAAAATGGTTCTTCAGCTTCGCCTCTACCCTCTCCTGTTCGTTCTCCAGCCAGGACCCCTACATTGCAACAACCCAGCTGTCAAGCCCTGTATGACTTTGTACCAGAAAGTGAATCAGAATTACCTTTTAAAGAAGGTGAAATCATCACATTACTTAATCGTGTTGACGATAATTGGTTTGAAGGAACCATACATAATCGAACAGGCCTTTTCCCTGTGAACTATGTTCAAGTCTTAGTGCCATTGCCTTAAATGGGGTAAGTTAATAAGATTTTAATTCTTTATTTTTTGATAAATTAAGTCTTTAATACACAAGATTATATTGTTAGGTATTTTCATCTTAGAAATTATATATTAAATGCTTATTGATATCATATATAAATATGTGCATTTTGTATTATAGACTGTGTTATTAATGGTTAATAAACAAGCATGCAAGCTGATATTTTAATTCTTGAATTATTGAAAATATTTCTAATGATGCACAGGAAGGAATTGCAACATTAGAAAGAATTCTCCAGATGAGTCAAAAACATGCTGCATAGATAGAAAAGTATGTGCTAAAGAAATTGTTTTACTTTCAAACTATTGTATGTTACTGAAGTTATTTATCCTGTTGACTGATATGTTTTTTAATCTGAAGTGACATTAAGTAAATACTAATATTTTGTCCTGAGGTACTGTAGCCCTTGTAGAGTCGTAACTTCTTCCTTTGAAGAGGAATTATTAATAACAGAGGAGGAGTTTCATTCAGCGTAATGTACGAGGGTTGGAACTTTAATAGTGGCAACACATCTGAAAAAAACGCTACGCAACAAAACCAAAGAATATCGCGTATACCACACGTGAACTACATACCTACCTTACCTCTCAGCAAAAAGACTCGTCCTGCCTACGTCACGTGCATGTGGAGTGACGCGAAGAACGGATCCTTGTATTAGCTTGCGGTCTAAAGTAAGTGTTGTCAGGATGTTTTCAAAACAAGAACACCGATGTTGAATAAAAATTGAATGTGCCAGAGGTCGTACAGCACGACAGTGTCATCAAGGGCTTCAAGAGGCTTGCGGGGAATCTGCATTGTCTTACAGAACTGTAGCAAGATGGGGTGAAAGCATTCAATGAAGGACGCCAAAACATGGCAGACATGCTGCGGCCAGGTCGTCCGAGTGTCAGCGATGCAGACGTGCAAGCTGTTGCCGCACTAATGGACAGTGATCGCCGCCAAACGATTCGTCAGCTGGCCGGACAAATAGGATTAGCGCATACGACTGTACTGCACATTCTGAAGGAACGCCTGTCCATGAGAAAAATTGCTTCACGATGGGTTCCACATCAGTTGACAAAAATGCAGAAATGGTTATGATACGATGCTGCCCGAACCCACCTGGAGCGCTATGAGCGTGAAGGAGATGCTTTTTTACGCTGTATCATTACGCTGGATGAGACTTGGGCTCGTTCGTACCAGCCTGAACTGAAACGCCAATCAAATGAATGGTGTCATCACGGGTCACCACGATGTTCGAAATTTTGTCAAAACGCCAGCAATGTGAAAGTTATGGTGATTCTCGTGTATGAATGTGATGGTGTCATCCTAACACATACCGTTTCCCCACAGCAGACCGTCACTGCGCAGTATTACTGCTAATTTTTGGAGCACAATCTCTGACCAGCTTTGAGAAAAAAACAGCAACACTTTCTGCAGAACGCTCCTCTCATTTTGCATGACAATGCTCGGCTGCATGCAGCGTAAGCTGTGACTGATTTGTTCAAGCGATGGGGCTGGGAAGTGCTTTACTATCCACCATACTTCCCAGATCTAAGCCCTTGTGACTATGACTTAATTCCTAAGATGAAGGAACCACTTCGTGGCACTCGCTTCCAAACTGTTCCTGAGATTCTTGCGGCAGTAGACCAATCCATTCAAACTATCAACAAAACAGGCGCTGCTACAGGTATTCTGCGACTTCCACATCGTTGGAAACGGGTTGTACACAATGCTGGCAACTATATTGAAGGACTGTAAAACATGGTGACATGAATCACTTTTGTATTCCTTGTAAATAAATAGTTGCCACTATTAAATTTCCACTCCTCGTATGTCTCCCAGAATCTCTCATTGCAAGATTGTGGGAATTTTTCTGCCAGAGAATTACCTTGTCTTTTCGCAAATGATTTGCTGTTAGTTGTGGGGAGGCTGTATAGTATTCTAACAAAATATACCATTTGGTATTTCTAGAGGTGCAACGTACTAGGGTATCTCGTTACTACAGCAATATACTATTGTGCTTGTTATGCTTGCTAGAGGCGATCAGGTGCTAATACTAATCATAAGCCTTGATTGTATGTTAATTAGCTGTAAGATGCTGGTAGTGGCAGAAATATCAGCTCAGTGATCATTACTGAGACAGAATCTAAATGACCATTGAATACAATTTTAAGCAACAGGAATCAATATTGCATGAGTAAATTTGGTGGACTAGTTTCAGATCTTAATCAGAACCTTCCTTTTCAGCTGTGGCACTGTTAATGTGAAAAAAAAAAAAAAAAAAAAAACATGGATCTGAAGAGTCAGTCTGAAGATCAGTATGAAGAGAAAATTTTCAAAGAAACAGCATATTTATAGAAACATTATTACTAAATTTTAATAGGAAAAGAAGAGCACTTTTGCATATATGAAAAAGTATTGTGAAAGCAAATTTTAGTAAGTGCAAAGAAAACTGAAGTATCAATGAAATATGACACAGAATGTTCATTCTTTTGGTAAAGGAAGATTTACGTGGTGAAAATCCTGAAATGCTTAGATGAATTTTGTTTGACACTGTTGGCATCCTATCAGCTGCTAATTGTGTTATTTCTTTAATTGGTACACTACAGATGGACAAAAGAACGTTTAAAGTTAAATCAGTAAATGTTGAGGGTTATTAACCCTTTATGGTCAGATTAAATTTGGAGATGGGTATCATGCTGGTCGGAATTAATTTCCGTCGATAGAGCGGTACATAACATGCAAGTTCACGATGGATAAACAAGATTTAATAATTCTTTTGTGAACTTTAGATATATCTTTATTCAATACACTCATCTAGTATATGTTTTAAAAATTGTTATAAATTCTCCTTCAGCATTTTTCAAAAACCTCCAACATGCAGGCCAATTCGATATAAGTTTGGGCGTATCGCAACATAAGGTTTGTGCCTTCCCCCTAATCTTCGTTGAACAACTGTGATACTTCTTTAGCGATATGAAGCAACTCCAATGATGGAACACAGCAATAACTTTTATTTAACACTCAAAAAAATGGCGACATACAAACAAGAAGAGAAAACATATTCTATAAAACATTTAAAAAAATAATTACATTCTTCGTGCGAGAAGTCGCATGCAGGCACTCGAGTCTGCATTTCAAATATTGCCATTAATCAACATTATTATTATTCATCTATTTAAAATGCACAGAGATTTAATAACTATATTAAAGCTGTTACAACCTCTCCCCCAACGGAGAGACTTTTTCCGAAGGGAAAAGTTCTGTAAAATTTGACAGTTTAATAAGCTCGGCTTGCTCATTTGCTTAAAGAGAAAAGGTAACTTCTCTTCAAATAATTTTTTTCACACAAATTTGGAGAACGTTCAAATACATCAGTTGAGCATACATTAAATAATAAAATAAATTCTGAACGTGGTTACATACACTAAGAGTTATTACATTACTTAATTCTACTCAGAACATCTACGTTCTTGTGCAAAGATCCTTTGCGATGAATGACCTTAAAATTATAAGGTTGTAATGAGAGTGCCCAGCGCATCAATCTAGAGTTACATTTGGCGTTGGATTGTAGCCAGCCAGACCAAAGGATTATGATCAGTTTGAATCAAGAATTCTTGCTGACCATCCAGATAAAAATGCAGTTTCTTGATAGCGTAGATGATAGCAGCGCACTCCTTTTCAGTAGTACAATAATTCTTTTCAAACTTAGTAAATTTTTTGCTTATATGCAAGATAGAATGTTCACGTTGTTCATCATCTAATTGGCATAGTACTATACCCATGCCATTGTCTGAGGCATCGGTTTGTATAATAAACCTTTTATCAAAATCGGGAGCATACAGAATTGGTTTCTTGCATAGCAACTCTTTTAAATTTTTAAAAGCTTTGTCACATATTTCAGACCATTGTATATTTTTTTTTGTTACCCGCTTCAAAGCGTCCGTGAGGGGTGAAGCAATTTCCGAAAATCTCGGTATGTACTGGCGATAATACCCTACCAGTCCTAAGAAAGCACGTACTTCTGTTTTGGTTTTAGGTGTAGGATACTCCTTTACAGCCAGGATCTTTACTTCATCCGGGGTTCGTTGTCCTTGTCCCACAACATGGCCTAGGTATCTCACTTGATCTTGTGCAAATTTACATTTTGATGGTTTTAGTCGTAAATTTGCTTTCTGTATTCTCTCTAGAACAGAAGTTAAGTTTTTAAGGTGCTCTTCCCAGTTTTCTGAGTAAATGGCAATGTCATCCAGGTATGGTACAGCGAAACCTTCGCATCCAGCCAGGACTTTAGTCATAACTTTGCTAAAAAAATATGGGGCATTTTTTAATCCAAAGGGTAAACGTAGAGGCCTGAAACTTCCAAAACTAGTTACAAATGTTGCATATCTTTGGGCTCTTTCTGTTAACGGAATTTGCCAGTAGCCTCTAGATAAATCTAATCTAATAGGGTAATATATTTTGCTTTTGCTACAGTTTCGATACGTTCTTCAATATTAGGCAAAGGATAGTATTCAGTTTTAGTAACAGCATTGAGTTTACGATAATCAATACAAGGCCGAGGATCCTTTGATGAAGATTCTATCAAAATCATGGGAGATGTATAGTCCGATTCTCCCGGCTCTATAATTTTAAGATCGAGCATTTTCTGTATTTCCTTATTTCCCTTTGAGAATTTCAGTCTGTCGGGGTGACAGTCTGTATGGCTTTATTTGTATTGGTTCGTTATTTAATAGCTCAATATCGTGACAAACTAAGTTTGTTAGTCCAGGATTATTTGAAAAACAACCAGAATATTTCCATAAAATCTTTCGTAAATCTTCTATTTGCTCGGATTTCAACCTTTTCTCGAGTTCATTCTCCTCTATGATGTCCGAAAAATTTTAATATACTTGGATTGGAAGGTAAACGAGGAATGTCCATTTCTAAGTCTCCTTCCACTTCAGTTATCATATTAATCATTTCTGGTCTTTTGTAATATGGTTTAAGCATGTTAATGTGATATACTTGATTTGGCTCATTTTGTTCCTCGAAACTTACAATATAATTGGTTTCTGAAATTTTCTGCTCTATTTTTCCAGGTCCTTTCCACTGTACTTCTAGTTTATTTTGACGATTCGTTGATAAAACAAGAACTAAATCTCCTCTAGCAAATTCTCTTTTCACTGCGTTTCGATCGTACCATGTTTTCCTCCGTTGTTGAGCTTCTTTCATGTTTTCCACGGCAAGTTCTTCTTGGCATTTCTTCATTCGATTAATAAGTTCGAAAACGTAACTGACAACATTAT